CCAAAAACGGTTTTTTATAACAATAAAACTAAGATTTTAAAAAAAAACATAATTAACTAGCAAAATATCGACAAACATATACGGATTTACTTTTTAACACATTTAAATTTTGGAACACGTAAAATAAAATTGCAACAGAAACCTACAGACCTGCATCCTGTTGGCTGTTAGGGCATTGTCGTAGAAGATTGTCCTGTAGATATTTTAATTACCATTTTGGTCATTCTCAACACTGATTAACATGCATGTACAGTTCACAGTCCAAATAGCATGGAATATTAATCTATCAGTATAATATTCTAAATGAATAAATGGTTATGTTGGCACTGAAGAAATTATCGTTTTTAAAATACTGACACTCCAACTGCAGTGTGGGTAATATAAATCATAATTTGGAAAATTTATCAATATCCGTTTCGGGAGGAACAAAATTGTAGAAAAAGTTAAGTCTATTAAAAGTTACAAAACTTTTATCTTTGTTTTAAAGATATTTCATATGAAACGTTATTTTTAAATTAATATATATTTGTGTAACAGTCTGTTGATATCGTAGGAGTATGGGAGTTTAGTCCACTCAATACGTACATATAATCAGTGGCGTAGCGAGGTCGGGTGTCACCCGGTGCGGCACTTATTGTGTCACCCCCAGAGGCGTCGCGACCCTTCCCGGGGATAAACTTTGAATTTTCAATTTGCATACCCCCCCCCCCCCCCCCCAAACTTTCGGTTTGCACCACTTAAAACACTATTTAACACTCGAATTAATCACTTAATTAAGTGGAGTTATAATTTTTCTCTCTATATTTTGCTATTTTTTGCCTTGGTGTCACCCCCCCCTAAATGGTGTCACCCGGTGCGGTCCGTATCCCCCCTCCCCCCGCTACGCCTCTGCATATAATTATTAAACATATACCCATCCCCGCCAAGCACAAATTCAAAATTTTCAAAAAAATATATGATAAGCATATGATATCTACAAAATTATTTAATTTGGGATACGGGTTTCTATGACATATATTATGGGTTTTCTTTGCATCGAATACGGTATTTTAATTTGACATACATACCCTGGCTTTTAAATAATCAACAACTACAGTGAAGCCATCAGCAAAGTCATTCATGCTGATCGTTGTATCTGACGCCGCCATGACATCCGAGGTGCACGAATAACAAGTGGAAATTCTTCGGTGCTAACAAAAAGTTCTGTCAAGAAGGAATATTTGAACCGAATATTAAACAACAGTTTTTGGGGTCGTGCATTAATGGCGGCATTAAAATTATAAGAGAGAGAGAGATAGGTAGGTCGGATCAGATGAGAGACACAAATTGGTTTAAGAAAATTGAAAATTTTATCGTACGAATTTGCGTTTCAAATTTGATTTCTGTATTTAGGTTTTTACATGCTCGTATACAAAGCATAGTGAAGTTAATTTCAGCTCAAAACTTAAATGAGATTTTACAGTTTCCATCCGGTTTACGCCGCTCAATACAGAATATATAAAAGGTATTGTAATTTTGAAAAAAAAACATCCAAATCGAGATTTTGACAAATGTTCATGTTTTACAACTTTCGTAACCAGAAATAACTAGTTGGTTTGTGCTGACTAACAGATTTGTGTGTAAGAGGTGTAGTATGGTATTAATGACATATTATATACTGTAATTTTTAAGTGATGTTCAGTAAATTGTATTTCTTTTATTTGTAAAGGGGGAGGGGATGGTGAGGGTGTCGCTATATATAATGTTAAGCCCTACTTCCAATCATTCATACATTAGCTATAGCACCAGATTTGTATAATTTATCGCCGTTAACTAAATGGAAATCTCCTTATACTAAAAAAACATAATAAAGACAAGATAGAAAAATCGCTAGAGACCGCTACGTGGATTAATACGATAAAACAACAAGAACAAAATTAATACCATCAACAAGAAATATTATTTATAATAATTGCTAAATGGACAATATATTTTTCTCTTACCCGTGGTTCAACCAGCCAGACGCTCTTCTTTCGTTGCTAGAGTGAATCACTAAGGTTAGCGCCAGTCTGGGGTTCTTTAAGTTTCATTTTCGATCATTGAATAAAACATTCATACGAAATAGCCTGCCGTCCCCGTCATTCCTCTCTCAGCCACGTAATGCTTGTAGAAATCGTGATGTATCATGACCTACTGATAAAAGACGGAATTTTTTTTTATGTCGGCGTGAACTTTTGGTTTCGGTAAGTGAAAGGTTTAGAGGGCAGAAGATGCATGACGCGTACCCTAAAAGAGTTGCAAGTCACTGAGGCGTATCGCGCAGTGATATTTTTCTTCGAGGGGGGGGGGCACTTGAAATTTTCGGGGGAGGGGGGGGGGGGTGGAGGGGTGGTGGCGGCGGTAGACTTTCTTCGGAGGGGAGGGGGGCTGACACTGTTAAAAGTATAGATTTTCTATATAAATTTCATTTCGTTCGAGGGGGGGGGGGGGGGTAGCCTGGAAGAAACTCTGGTATCGTGATGGGTATAAAATTAATGTTAACATTAAGGGAATAAACGTAAAAGTAAATCTTTTGGATTGTATACATATTATAACACACTTACATTGTTACGAGTAGTTTGTCACTCCGTTGTACTGGGGAATGTGAGTTAGGTTTTGTTACGTTAAGCTGCACTAATGTGTACTGTTAATTTTGCAACGCGTAGGTTTATCGGGCAGATAGTAAATAGTTCGTCTGATTATGTGACCTCCGCTTACAGAAGTATAGTGTGTTCAGATTAACGTCAAGTTTGATTTACCCGGCTGAGATATCCGTCAAACTTGGTGGACAACAGATGGTATTCATTGAGTTTTGAACCAGACGTAACACTACCTTCACTTTGTGTTTATATTACTTTTCGCACGCTACTGATGCATAAGATCAGAGGCGTAGCGATGGGGGGTGCAGCGGGGTACATATGTCCCCGGGCGCCGACCTTAGTGGGCGCCAAAAATGGGTTGTAAAGTCAACTTTAAATGTCATTTTAGCTGCATTTTTGCATTATAAACAGTTTGGGGGGGGGGGGGGGGGCGCCAAATTGAAAGTTTGTCCCCTGGCGCCTAGAAGGGTCGCTACGCCTCTGCATAAGAAATCCAAAAATTGTTCGAATAATATGCAAGGTAAGAAAATGAGCAGAATAAAACAAACTCCGTTTAAAATTAGCACAAATAAATATAAGATTTCAACACTAAGTTTTCGTGGCAGTTATCACATGTAGAAATAGTCAGATTTAAACCCTGGATGTCGCATGATATTTTCCTTTACCTGTGTAAGACCCAGACATCTCTATAAGTTAGTCCATTGTGTAAGGCTAACAGATGGCTGGAGTTCAGTCAGTTTCATTTCATCTCTTCAGAAAATGTTCAATGAAAAAAAAAACTTGCCGCCCCCACCCCACTACATTCCAACACACTAAAGAGGTATTTTCACTTACCTGTGTATGACCCAACAGCCTCAATCACTAGGTTAAGTCACTTGTGTAAGTTAAGCCACAGTATTAAGTTCATTTAGTTTTCATTTAGTTTCATTTTCCTCGGTACAAGAAGTATCCATACACATGATCTCTGCAGCGCCTTTCGCTGCTCTTCAACACACACGTTTTTTCCTAATCTTATCGACAGATATGTTCAATTTCCGAATAATACAAACTCTATCAAAAATAGAACTATGTTTTAAACGGAATTTTTTAGAAAGCAATAGCCTTCACAGCATTTAAAAAAAAAAAAGTTGTGCCTATTAAAATTTAATAAACATTATAAGACTTTATATAAGGTGTTCTCTACTTTAATGATTTTATAGTTGTTGTCGGATCTAGTAAGAAATGTATTTATTTCTCTATATCTACCCCTCCCCCTGCACACACGCATATGCACATAGGTTTTGCCGGTAACGCTGGCTACACATTTTATTTTGTATACATATTAGGCGAAACAATATTTGTTTCCATATAATGTACACATTTTACACATGCATATAATACCCTTGAAATAATAAACAATGACAGTAAATCCTTTAGGTAAGAGCCTTTTTTGCCACACATTGGGATTTGCACCGAATTTAAAGAACTGCTTTTTGGTTAGCAACAGAATAGGATGGAACATGTGGACATTTATGGTATGGAGGGAGCGGCTTATTAAAATACAAGATGTTGCATTTCTACGTTTTGAAAAAAAAATTAGTAAAACTGAGTTGTCGTTTTTTTATTTCCCTTTTTAAATTTCCCTTTTTTGATGTTACCGTAATTAATGAGTGGGAGGCTAAAAGTAGACCAGACTTCAGACTATAATTAATAAAAATAATAAACAAGAGACTTCGTCAACATTTGTTTGTTTATTTACTTCTTTTTTATAAATATTAATTACTATTACATAAATACTAAGAGACCAAAGAGTCATATTTTTTTATTAAATTACTATTTTCGTGGGAACTTTAACGAATTTATTTCCAGTTACAATAACAAAACACTTGGACAGTTAAGTGCAGAATCTCATGTCAATAATAACAGATCGTCTTGAGGAAATATTTATTGTCTAGTGCCTTCTGATGAATCAATGTATTATTACATTTAAAGTTGATGTTACAATAATAGCGAAGATAATTATGCATGCAGGCTTCTACATAAAGAATCCATTGACTTGAATATTCAAGAGTAAGAAAAGTTAAGAAAATACCCTCACCAGTTTCTAAAAGAAAAATTTAAAAATAAATTTTTAATTTCTAACTGGAAAAAAAAAATAAACATATTTTAAGCAGTTTGACCTTAGTTATGGCCAGATTAAAAGTTCTTGAACGAAGTACAATTACATGGACGTACATTTTTTTATGTTTTGGAGAAATAATTATTTTTGTTGAACATGCCAAATTAGAAAAATCTTTAGAAAATGCATTAATTTAAAAAGTTAACGATTAAATATTTAGATAAGAAAATTAAAAACACGGATAACAATAACAATTCTAGATGTATCCTTTGTAAGTCCCTCCTTCACAAACCCAAACGCCGGAAAACAGTATCCATCGCAGTCCCCAATTCATCTATTTTGGTATTATGCAGTATTAATTTTTCCCCTACATGTTTTCGTAAGTTAAATAAATCTGTGTATAATGTCTGAAGGTTAGTTTTAGCATCATTGAGTTCTTTTTCTTTTACTGAGAGATAGTTATCCATGTCCGACAAAGCTTGTTTAAACTTCTCCTCATTCTTGTCAACCTTGTTTTGTATAAGTGCTTGTTTATCCAAAATAGCACTAATCTGAGTTTTTACGATTGCTTGAGTCTTGTCTATTTCCTGTTTGTACTGTTCTATAACTGTTTTTGTTTGCTGAACCTCTAATATCAGCTGGCTTCTCAATTCTATAAAAGTCACAACAGAGAAAAATGATTATTAAAGAGTTAAGTATGCGCATTTTTTTCATGAAAATTAACTTATATATCTGTTTTATGTAAAGACAAAAACATAAACGTGTTCAAGCAAATTAAAAACCTAGCACAACCTAACTGTTTGTAAAACGTTCTGGACAGGATAATATATTTTAGTCCGGTTTATAAATAAACTAAGGTTTATGTATGAAGGAAATATTTGTGAATCCATTCCTAATATCAAGGTAAAGATTCCATTAAAAATGCACTTGCTTATGCTGCCCTGTCGGTAATTAAAAAAGAAATACATGCTAACCTTGTAGTGTAGACTGGGCCTGCTTACTGCACTGTTCCAAATTTTTTCTTGCAGAATTTAAGCTATCTATGTCAACACGCAGGCTTTTCAGTTTGCTATCTTGCGCGTTTATCTTCAGGTATAGGTCTACTATTTTCGAGTTGCCTTTTTGATGCTCTTTTTCTATCGCCTGCACTTCAAGTCGCAGGTTGTTTATTTCAGTACATCTGCTCTGTGTTTCCTTTCTTATTACCTCCTCCAACTTTTTCCTGTGGGACGTCATTACAGCGGCACTGTCTAACATTGATTTAGACAGAACTTGGTGCTTTGTCTTGAGCTCTTCTACGTTTTTACCCTGGGCAGTCATCTTGTCTTCCAGAGTGTCACACGTGACCTTGATATTCCACAACCAACGGTTTGCTGAATCTCGGAACTGCTGGAAGTTAACGCCGTCTTGTTGTAGCTGGTCGACTTTAGGGCTCAATAACGTTATCTGCTCTTCCATTGTCGTCAGCTTCTGTTTAGTATCAATGTTAAAGTTTCCCAAATTATCGATCTGTGTTTTTATTTCAAATTCAGCGTCTAGTGATTATAAAAAAAAGTAAGCCACCATCATTGACTCTCAAGGTTATGCACAATTTTCTGGTTGTATTAAACTCAGTTAATTCTTTTTTTTATCTGTCATTGTGGCTTTTCTTCTTCTTCGTTCTTAATTTTTAGTGTTAGAAGGGATCGAGCCTTTTGCCGACTCGACCACGCCTCCATCACAATTAAGGATACCTATCAACTGGTTATGCGCCATTGAGGCCATTGACTACGATTTCAGCCTGCTTTTCTTTTTGGATTTGCTTCCATAGCCTTTGTCCAACCAAGAAGAAACCACAAGGCAGCAGTTGTTTGATTTTGGAGTTGTCTCTCCTAGAAGAATAGCTGTCCCCAGCAAACGAGCCTCATCTGCCCGAGGGTTCGAACTAGAGATTTTTCGGTTTAGCAACCATGAGCTTTGCCGACTCGACCACGTCGGCCCTAAAAATACTCTGCCTCTAGTATAGCTATTTTTAATTAAAGTAGAACGTCCAAAACATTTACTATGAAAAATACATTAGCTTAAGATTGGTTTAAAAAATAATTAAAAATTATGTGATCGCAATTTTAGTTGAGGTTTATACATTTAATGTGTTTTAGTTTGATGGATAGCAAAAATATTATAGTTTTAGCACAGACATACTATCATCAACTGACACCATATTTCTTGGATTTGTTCTAATATTTTAAAAAAGATTACCGTTTTATTCCATTCACATATAAAGAGACTTACTCATACTCATTGTGGGTTGTTTTTTTTTTTTTTGGGGGGGGGGGGGGGGGGGGGAGAGATATGTGAACAATTACCCACACACAATTCCAAACATTCTATTCCTTAATCAACACAATTAAAACGTTAAACCCTACCTTGCAAAGCCTTTTTGTCTTGCAAACATCTGCTATCCAGGTCCCGGATCGTTTTGTCCAGCTCGTCTGATTCAACAATCAGGCTTTGAATCTGACCCAATAGGTCATCATTTTTCTTAGTTAGCTCCTCGAGTTTAGAGTCCTTGATTAACATGCTATCTTTTAGCGACAGAATATCGTAACTGAGATTTTTTATTTTGTCACGCATACACAGTGTTTCTGTTGTTACTCTTTTGTCAAATTGTTTTAGTTGTGCATCAAATTTGACTGATGTTTCAGAAATTTGTTTTGCGACTGCTGTATTCGTATCATCAAACTTCTTGTCATGCTCTTTTATTTTGTTTTCTAGTTTGTCACATGTTATATTAATACTCGAAATGGACTTGCTTTGCTTCTCTGATATGAAAGAGAACCGATCTAAAATATTTGCTTGCTTCTGTTTGATGCATACTGCTTCTTTTCTAACATCCTTGACTTGCGAAAGAAGATCGTTCACCGAACCTAGAATTGACAGGAAAATATCATCACTAGTATCAGTGAAGTATAAATATGTAAGTTGTCAATTAGCAAACAACGTCTATATACCACTTGATATGATGGTTCCTCAATAGCAAGGCTTATATTCGTAGTTGTTTTAATTCGAACCTAAGCAGGAAAGAATTTTATATAAGCACTAGCAATGTTGATCAAATACGGTTTACGTTTTTTAATCTACTTAATACAACATCTGATCCAAAACAGACATTTACTATTTCTGTAACAATGTTTTAATCATTTTAATCAAACTTAGTAGTCTTTCAATATCATAGATTGGCTGGGCGACAACATAAATAATTTCTAAATTGAAGCCCCCAGTTTGGATTAAAGACCTACGTTTGTAAAACTTAGCAGAGTAGAAACAACTATAGTAACCGACGCAAGCAAGCGAGTATAATATTCACACACTTAAACACACTTTTGCGTAGTATTTAAAAGTAAAAAAATATTTAAATCTGCTTGCTATCTGTTTTATTTAATGTCATGTTCAAAAGCTTAGTTTTTACTTACTTTGTAAAGTCTTTTGATCCTGATCGAGTTCCGTGAGCTTAGAATCCCTAGTTTGATTTGCATCTTTCATCAACAGAACATTATTTCTTACATATTTAAATTGATCATGCACATTCTTTGTTTCTGTTTGCATTTTATTGTCAAGTTGTTGTAGTTTGGAATTAAACTGGGTTGTGAATTCAGACAAACGATTAGAGTCTTCTATTTTCTCTTGGTCAGATTTCTTTTCTTGCACTTGTATCCGGAACTCCAGTATATTAAATCTCACCTCGACATTTTCGATGGACTTTTTTTGTTTTTCAGTAAACAAAGTGATCAGTTGATCCATTGTATTCTGCTTCTTTTTCATGTCTATTACTTCTTTGCCTAATTCCGTGACTTTTAAATTAAGGTCCTTTAAAGATTCTAGAGATAACAAAATTAAAAGTCCGTTATATCAGACATGTATATCTGTATAAGTCGCAAATAATCCACAAGCACACATTAACCTAATAAATATGTACTCCAATCAATAATAAATATCCCAATTTAACATACAGTTGGTCCAAATTTATGACAAAATTTAGTGCGTTATCTCTATACTACTAAAACTCAAGTTTGTTTACATGTTTGAATATTTTTTTTTGTTTGTCTGCTTGACTCCTCTAAAGAATCGTCACTAGGTGGAGAGCTGTAAAATAGTATGTAGGTAGAGAACAACTTTTCTTTTCAGACCGACTGTTAATCACAAATGTATTTGAAGACGTTAATTATTTTTTGATTGATTCATTGGTAGATTAACCACATTAATTTTAAATTTTTCAAACAATGGCTTTACCTTGACTGAATAGTGACATCACATGTTTTGTTTACTTTTAAGTACTATAAGATGGCGGCTTCTATGATAGACTTTGTGGCCCATTCAAAAGTTTAACGCGTTCTAAAGCTAATCTTCTGTCGGCCATATTTTTAAAATACGTCCGTTTGCTGTTTTTATTACGTTCCAACACTTATATAAATTTTCAACTGTCTTTTTCATTTAGTTTTACAATAAATTTCTCTAACTCTACAATCTGTCCAAGAAAGTTATCTTTTTATTTATAGATCTAAATATCAGGTGGCCAAGAAAGTTATTAGTAGATCTAGATCTGGAATCTAGGTCAAACCAAAGATTAATTAGATACAAACCAAAGATTAATTAGATAAAAATACAATCCATTTTATAATCATAATACATTTTTAGTCCTAAAATACTTGATATAAATCTTTGTGATTTATCTATTTAGATCTAGATCTATCTAGCTAGAATAGATCTAATGATTAGATCTAGATTCTTGATCTAACAAGAGTTACACTAAAACTACTAAACTAGACTTAAGACTTAAGCAAATGAGTCGTAGAATCTAGATTTAGATAATTCTATCTAGATCTAGATAATTTAAGACCTTTATTAATTTATATAAAACTTTTGTCTGTTTAGCTATGTAATTGGCTAATTTAAGATAAAATTTAATTTGAAAATTACTACTACTAGACTTAGATCTAGATCTATGAGCGTAAATCAAGTTGCATAAGGAGACTCAAATACTTTAAAAAAACTTCAAGACGTAACGAGTTAAATAGCTAAGTTGTGAGTGTAATCGGCTTTCATGCGGGTGGCACGGGTTCTAGACACGTCAATGTTAATTTTTTTTTTTTTTTTTTTTTTTGAGATGTGAATGATAAAGTTGCCTATCTGAACTTGCCGGGATACAGGGAAGGTGAAATAGAGTTCATCTGCTTCTTTGTCCTAAGCATATGTAGGGATAGTGTGGTCAGAGACATGCTCGGCTGGAATCGTTTTTTTTTAAACGATAAAAACATGTTTTCTGAGACTTGGCGGGACACTGGGCAGGTGAAGTAGAGTTAAGTATGTCACCTGTGACGTCAGTATATGAAGGGATAGTCCGAAATCGGTGTTTTTAAAAGATAAAAAACATCTTTTTGAATGTGGGGTCTGGTTTTTTGTGACGATAAGTGACAGACGAGATTTTTTTATGGATGACCCCCGAAACCCACAGTTATCCAAGGGATGACGGGTAGCCTAAATCATATTAAAGCAACATATTAATCTCAGAAACGTTTTAAAATATGGATTATTTTATTAATTTACTAAATTCAAAAAATTAGTTGACCTCTGAAAACCAATTTTCGGAACTTTTTAAAACATACCTTGTAGTTTTGAAATGGAACAGGATGGTTGATTGCACGACAGCACACTATTAAATCTCGAGTATGTGTACAACTTACCTAAATTTACAGATTTAATGAATACCTGATTAGGTATTCAACTATTAAGGTAACTGAGATGAGACATGAACTTACTATCAATACTTCATACGACAAACACATGCAAACAGATGACATCTACTTTTTCTCATGTAAAATAGGTAAACTTAAACTTACTTTGTAAGGTCTTTTGATTTTCGTCGTTTTCCTTCTTTAGCTCCGTGAGCTTTGAGTCCTTGGTTTTATTCGAACTTTTGATCAAAAGAATGTCAACTTCCATTCTGCTAACTCTTTCACTTCTATTCTTTATTTCCCTTTGTAATTTATTTTCAAAGTCGGTTGCTGTTTCTGTCAAAGACTTTGATAGGATATCTAAGTTAACTTGTAATTCCTCGAGTTTAACCTGTTGACCTTTAATCATTTCATCCTGTTTGCTCACTTCTGAGTCTAGTTTGTCAACTGAACCTGCGTTATGTTAAAAGTAAACGTTAGTTTAATTATGAAAAAATGTAAAACATAGTAAGACAAGATTGAATCAGTCCTTATAGCGTTTATTAATGGAATAACTTGATATTGTGTGAGGGGCGGCGTAGCCTTGTGGAAGAGCACTAGACTCGAGTTCTGATCCCTGGCCCGAGTCTTTGAGACCAGTCAGCTCTAACAGGTACCTAACTCACGCTAAGGAAATAAAGGCGGCTTTGCATTGTACTCGCTTCACTATCTATCAGTATGCCGAGGTATTTGAAACAGGTAAACCCTACACCTGTACCATAGGTCTTTAGGAAAACGAAAAAAAGATAATGATAGTAATCATAGTTTTCATATACCCACAAGTAAAATTACCTTGCAAATTTCCAACATCTAGTAGAAGATTTTCTTCCATAACCCGCGTCTTTTTTCTCAGCTCACCCATCATAGCAAAGATTTGCGTTCTCTGATGTATAGAGTCGTCACATTTTTTAAACAGTTCTTCAAATTTAGTGTCTCTTTTTTGGTTTGTGTCTTTGATTAAATTGATATCAGAGACCAACTTTTTAACATCATCACCCCGATTCTTTTCTTCAGTTAATATTTTATTATCAGGCTGCTTTAAAAGTGAATCATTTTTGGTAGAAGATTCCAATATAGACTTGGACAATTCGGCTTTAACTTCATTAACTTTTTTATCTTGGATTTCTATTCTCTTAACCGTCTCGTCGCATTTCTTATTAACACTGGCAAACAGTTCGTTTTGCTTCTTGGATACATCTTACACCATCTCTACTGTAACCGACTGTAAAGCCATTTCTTTCAATTTCATTTTCATTTCATGGATGGAACCTACAACAAACAAATTTAAACATTCGACACAAAATTACAAAGTTGTTAACCATAATAATTGAGGCACTTTACACAGATGCGTAGCAACTGAGTTTGCGGATTTAAAGCAATTTTCAGAATAGCAAAATCGTACATACAAGTAACTGTGCCATTAAAACAATTAAAGGTTCTGTAACAAATAAAATGGTGAAGACAATATCAGAAAATGCTCGGCTGTACACTGGTAAATTTTCTATAGATAGCGCACGACAACTGAATGATGGAATGTAAAGTTAGTAAAATTTAAGCCCTTACCTTTGATAGATTCATCACAGGTTTGAAGATTCTCGATGGCTTTTTGGTTTCCACTAATTTTCTCATTGGTTGAAATACCAAGGTCATGTATTTTTTTTACTTGTCTCTGTAGGTCGTCCGTGGTTTCTGTAAAAGTTTTTGAGAGCTGCTGGACTTGTGACTGTAAGACATCAAGTTTTACGTTCTGAGCTGCAAACCTTTGGCTTAGATTGGCATACTTTAGTAAGACACGTCCTAGAACTTTCGTAGTTAAGTTTTGTTTTTCTACGTAGAAAATCATTTGTCTTTTCATATTTTTATATCTCTCAATATCTCGAAGTTCCACGTCTCTTATCGCACAGTTATGAGACATCAGAGATTCTGAAAACGATATGAATACGTTTGTAAATACAGGAAAATTGTGTCAATCAGTAAACACTAAAAAAGAACAATAAAATAATTTTTAAAGGTGTCGCATCATACAGACATATTGACGGTAATATACATTTCACTAAAAGGAACATAATTAAATTTTTAAAAATGGTAATACAACTGTTAAAAGCGTTGAAGCTACATGCATTTTTAAACACATCCAAAATGAAGAAAGTATACTTTACCTTCAATAGAACCGTTGTTTTCTTTCAAATCAGTGATCTCTTTCTTGTGTTTTTCGATTGTTTCTAAAACAGATGCCAACATTTTGTCAGACGTAGAGGAAATGTCTGTTTTTAAATTTCTGTATCCTTGAGATCAGGAATTTTATAAAAACTGAAAATGAAATAGTTTTGCAGATAATTTTAAAAAAACTCTAAATAAGAACAGAACGCAAAGAATGAGTGCCTACAGAACTGTATTCTTGATTAACTCATGGGATGCCGTCACAAGTTATTCTTCTCGTCACACGAAACCACAGCATTCGTCTATCTTACCTGAGTAACATCGTTTGGTTCATTTAGTTAGCAGGCGACCTGGCAGTGATAAATTATTTTCCTGCAAATTGCTTTCAGTTTCAGTTTGCGTCGTCATTAGAGCTTGGTCAATATGTTATGATCAATACCTCGCCTCAATTCAGTGGCGTGAGTTTGTGTGACAATATTGAATTGAAAATAGCTGAGAATCTTCTTCACCCTAGAGACTAAATTTAACCCCTTAACGCTGACTGTCGCGTTTTCGCGACATATCGATTTAGCGCATAGCATGTGCGCATAGGTACATTTATCTTACTGCTGCCGGTCGTTGTGTATTGGGAACATCCAGACGGTTGTATCGGTACAAATGGACACGTTGTCATGTCGCAATTTAAGACGTCACACTCTCTCGACTCACGCATATTGTAATTTTTTGACTTCGTGAATTCAGCCTACTTACATTGATTATTATTACTAAATAGGTAATCCGTTTTTGCTACAAAAAATAATAATAGCTTTATTATTCAGTCTTTTATGTATATAAACATTACAAATCACATATGAGAATAATTTTGGAAGTTATCTTCTGATTAAGGTTTGTCGCGTTTTCGGGACATCCGGCAATAGGACACAAAATAGTACTTATGTGCCAAGCAGGTATAACGAAATACGATGCATCCCCAAGCAGTCATTCATTCAAGTATGATTATAAATAAGTAAAGGATTTACAAAATAGTCTTCGCCTATATATAAAAGTGACTTTAGAACAGTATGGTTCATGTGGTAGGTGAAGTAGAGTTCACTGGTTTCATTGACATTGCCATATGGAGAGAGAGTGATGGTGGAATAATGTTATCATGCTGCTGGGTACAAGATAACGAATTTAACTTTGAAATCGCATTGTAAAATATTAGGAGAACATAGAAAGTAAATGGAAAACAGGAAGTGAGGTGGTGGACCACTATCCTGGATACTACCAAAGAAAGATCTTCACGGTGACCTTGACAATTATAACAATGAGCATAGACCTACACTTCGTAATAAATACAGGAAGGTTGAGTACTGATAAAAATAACCAGCGCTATTGAATACTCAGATTAGTGGTATTATACTGGCATTTAGTATCGACATTAGTGTTATTGAGTACCCACATCTTCAGCACTAAGTACCAACATCAGTGGCACTGAGCAACCACAGTTTCAGCACTAAGCACTCACAGCAGTGATACTGAGTACCCACTGCTAAGGCTGAGTAACCACAGCAACGTTATCGATTACCAACAGCTCCAGCGCTGAGTACACACAGCAGTGACATCAATAACCAACTGCAGTTTCACTGAGTACCCTCAGCTTCAACATTTATATATATATATATATATATATATATATATATATATATATATATATATATATATATATATATATATATATATATATATATATATACAATATCATAGAATTGAATTAAAAAAATAAAAGATAATCGCAAATGTTTCATTGTTTTAAAAAACATTTTATTAGTACCTTTTCACATCACTCAATTAGGCTTGTGTTTTATTAAATATTTTATGAGTCATTCTCCTTTGCGATTATATAACGACTCAATTAGCCAATTTATATATCTTTTTTATCGTACTTAAGATAAAAATATCTATATTTAAATTTAAAAATAAATAATAGAAATGCAAAAATAAATGAATTTAAAAAATCTAAATTACACATTTTGGTTAAAAAGGTAATAATATTGTAAGACATATTTTAACATAAGACACAATTTTTAAAAATACGCTGTGTCGTTTTACTTTACTTAAAACGCAAAGGAAAGGAAAATCTTCCAGGCTAACTATGGCTGTCACAAACGTAAAGGAAATGGTATGACATCTATTTATACTACTCCCTGACCCACCGAAAAGAAAAAAAAGGCTTTTTTGAAACAACAAAATAAGTTGAAAGCAGCTAGGAAAATGAAAACGAAAGAATTTGAACACTTTAATAGTTTAAACTTTAAACGATAATTACAAATAAATAATCTTAATGATATATGTTTGGTACATTTAATCAAGTAAACACAATATATTTTAAGAAATGCGTAGTTAAAGGAATGATTAGTGTGTTTATTTTCTCCTTCTTCGTCGTCGTTCCTAATATATTATTTGATGAATCAAACAAAAAGTTCTGTTTCGTGAACAAACTGAACAACGTTCTCCAGATCTGCAGTCGTCACATACGTATCCTTATAAACCTTTGGATAAATTTTTAATCAATCTAAAACAGCTGAACATTTAAACAATAACACAAGTAGAAACGAATCCCTCCCCTGTTTCTAAAATACTATCAGTAGCACGTGAATGACAATTTTCCTCACACTCCCTCTCCCCTCCTCTCCCTCGCCAAAGTGACACCACCGTCCGTGACGACAATTTACAGTCCACGATGAAAAGATCAAGCACAACTTGTTACCTCCCCTTAGTTTCAAATAGTTTAGAAAACTAAATTATCTGTCCCTAATATGTGTCGTTAACTCAACCCGGCTCTACGATTGTAAACATTCGACGTGAACCAGAGCTCACCTGACTGTGTATTACGTGCCCATCGAAAATCGTTTTTGTTTCTCTTTTACAAGAATTATTCTTTAGCAGATGTGTTGTAGTTTTCACTAATTCTGAAAAGGTTGCGATTATTCGATTTGCTGAATTTTTTAAAAATACGTAATTACATTAAAAAGCACATCTACTACAGTAGGCAAACTTTACTTTGTAAACCTCTAATTTACACATACTGTTGAATTCTCGTCGCATTAATTTGCAAAACATTAGATTTAACATTTAGTTTTACTGCTTAATGAGTATCTTCTACCGCTTTTATTCCCAATTCTGGCTACAATATCTGACAGTTTGTAAAAACATCATCGACTCTTCTTTGTTTGTTCAATGCGGTTGACAAGTTTTCATAAGGGCCCTATAACTGTTTATACTGTCCCTCAAATGCGGTTCTTACTTCCGTAACTATACCGTCTACTCTTTCTTTTAGACTGACCACTAAATCAGAATGATTTTTATCCATATCGAACAATCTTGAATACAGTCCCTGAAATTCGGTTCTTACAGCTGTTAATATACCGTCCACTTCTCTAAGACTGACCAATACATCAGAATGATTTTTATCCATTTCAGACAATCTTGAATGCAGTCCCTGAAATTCGGTTCTTACAGCTGTTAATATACCGTCCACTTCTCTTAGACTGACCACTACATCAGAATGATTTTTATCCATTTCGGACAATCTTGAGTGCAGTCCGTGAAATTCAGTTCTTGCATCAGTAACTATACCGTTTACTCTTTCTTTTAGACTGACCACTACGTCAGAATGATTTTTATCCATATCAGACAATCTTAAGTGCAGTCCCTGAAATTCGGTTCTTAAATCCATAACAATACCGTCCACTTCTGTTCGCTTGACCACCAGGGCAGACATATTTTTGGTCAAGTCGGACACCTTCCTACACTTCGCCTCACACTTGTTAACTTTTGTTAGAAACTCGTCAACCTTGATTTGGAAATACGTTTGTTTAGGTCTAATGGCACTGATTTGATTGTTGATGTCAGCCTGAACTTGCTTGACTTCCTGCGTATCATGTTTGCACTGCTTTATAGCTGTATTCGTTTGCTCAGTCTCTGTGAGCAACTGGTTTACTTTTGCTTTAAAGTAACAGAAGACAAAAAATTTTATTTAATAGGTACAAAGCATTTTCACATAACGTTTTCACATAATTGCATAATTATAATTCATGATCAAACTTAATTTTGAAATTTTCATTTTTGAGTCTCACTAGATATTAAAATATTATTTCTAATCAATCATGTTTTAAATTAAAATACATAAAATATATTTAAATTTCAATCCTGTCATCACAATGTTTCCTTAAATTACCAAATAGCTTTAAGATTTCGTTTTCTTTTGTCATATTTTATCGTAATATTGGGGCAGATGATTGGCTGTCCCCATTTAACAAGCCGCAACTGCCCAAGGGTTTGAACTCGAGACTTTTCGGTTTAGCAACCATGAGCTATACCGAATCGGTCTTATTGATTGATTTTGTTAATTTTAAGTATGTTAATTGTAAATATTTTAGTAATTCAGTTGTCAGGCAATCCTAAATTAACAGCTATCGTTTTAATTTTTTCTTCACTTTAACAAGAGCTAAGACTTTTTACGCACTTTTAGCGATCAAATTTAAGCAGCTTAAATGTTATTATATATTACAACCTTATTCACGACGAATTTT